CCATTGTTCCAGTTATTTAGGCCCCAAACTTTGGCTTCATCCTTGACTCCTCTCTTCTTCCTTTACCCCTACACTTCAATCTGTCTGGAAACTCTGATGGCTCTGTCTTGAAAATGCAGGCAATCTGACCACTTCTGACTGCCTCTGCAACCACCCTGTCTTGGTCTGGGCTACCGTCAATTCTCACCTAGTTACTGGAATAGCCACTTAACCAGTTTTCCTGCATCTGTGTTTTTCCTCTTACAGCTGGCTCTCAATAAAACACCCAAAAGGATCCCTTTAAAACTGTTCAAATCCTCCGGTGGCTCTTCGTTTCTCTCAAAGTCAAATTCTTACCATGGCCCACAAGGCCTGACATGACCTTCCTCCCATCGTCTCTCTGACTTCTTCCCTACTGTTTTACCCAGCTGGAATTTAAATTTTTGAGGGTAAAAATTATTGTCCCTATTGTTCATCAATGTATCCCAAATACCTAAAACTACCTGGCACACAGCAGGGCCTCAATATGTATCTTTGGATTGAATGAATGAATCTTGTTTACTTCTTTATAATTTATTTGTCCACTATTAGAATATAAGCTACATGAGGACAGGATCCTTATTCTTATTTAATAACATATCTAAAGCATTCAGAAGAATATACAGTAAACAGTAAATGCTCAACAAGTCCTTGTCAAATAAATAAATGAACATCTATTGGGAAAAGATTAGTGCATCTACTTAGACTACACTGAGTTAATGAATGCATTCTACATACAGATGGTTTCCATTCATTCTCATAGGCAGCTATCTATGGTGGATGTTATGCAGTAAAGCCAAGAATGAATTGTTCAGATAAATAGAACTTTATGGAAAGTGGTATGTAGGGTCATGGTTGCCCCAAAGTTACAATCATGTAGTGAACTATCCCAATTCTTTCCGCCATTGGCTCTAATTACGTGAGCTCTGTCTGCTTAACTTCCTGAGGAAAAAGAAATCTGCCACTTTAATGGTTATTTGCAAAACTGCCTACCCCAGGGGCTTTTATGGGGGGGAAGATTGTTTACAAAACTCGAAAAAAAGTCATTTCAATGTATAAGAACACTTTCTATTCTTGTAGGAGTGAGTCATGCTGCCAATGACTTACATTATCTGTTTTATTTTCATCTCTATTGAAGGGCATTCATATCTCTCTTCCTCTGTGCACATATAGGGGATCCAAAACCATTCTCTGTGATTGTTTGGATTGCTAATCTCTCCAGGGTTTCCTCAACATTCTCAAGGCAGTTTCTGGCACCAAAGGGAAAATGGAGAAGTTGAGATGCAATTTTATCTCCCAATTGAACTTGATTAAATGGGGACCGTTCTAATCAAAAGTTTAAATCCTGGGGGAGTGCGATGCTGTTAACAGGTTTGAGAATATTTAAGAACAGAGAGGAAGTGTGCTAAAGTCAAAGCAGAGAATCAGGCAAGAAAATAATTGTAGGAAAGCTTATTAAGTCATAAAATTAGGTGAACAAATTGCTTCACAGATAGTGTTAAGCTCATTGCTAGACTGGCAAAGGAAGTGGAAGAAAGCTCTTTGAAAACATTATTTGTATTATTTTAATAATTTGTGTAGGAATCATAGTAGCTGCAATCTGTTAGGGAGAAACAAACAATTGCCAGCTGGTGTCATCGTGGAGTAACTACAGTAGGCTGAATGCAAATACGTTTTGCCTTTTTACCTGGAGAGCATTCGATTTTAGAAAGTTTCTATTCATTTTTGCCTGAATGTAAGGTCTGCCCTTGTAGATAAGGAAGCCTGTTTGCTGTGTGATTTAAGAGCTTTGATTAGGTTCATACCAAGTTCCACAACTGTAATAGGGAGACCACACCTGGAACAGACTGTATTTACACAACCAAAGTTTCCTATTATTAGAAAGTGAATTTTTGAATACATGCCTGAATTGTCTGTGTAATTGCCTTGATTCTATGCATTGTTTTCCTTGTGGTTACTTCAAGGAAATGGTGTCACTTCATTAGCTATTTTGCTGAAAACAAAAAGAGATTTTCTGGGATAATGTTCTTTGAAAAGCATTAAAGGTACACTTATTTATGGAAATATACTTTTTGTTAGCAATTTAGCTGCTATACGTTTGTTGTACATTTTTGTTTTACAATTCTCCTAAATAATTTATTTTAACAATTACATAATCATTTTATGATCATTATTGCTATTTTTCCCTCTTTCTTGGAACTGATAGACTAGGTGACAAAGTACTGCAGGATGTAGAATTGCTCTGCTTTGCCTATAAAGCCAGGAGGAGAGAACATAATTTAATTATTCTATTGCAATTCTGTTGTCTCTTCCTGCCTCTTGACTCAAATGGTCTCAAGAGGGGAGAGAGAACAGTATGGTCTGTTGATGTTAGTTGAACTTCAGTGGTGAAGTGAATGTGTTTCTGGGATATTAGTGGTTTCTAATCTTGGTTTTGCTTTCACCTAGCTTTCCTTGCTTCAGTTTCCTCTTTGAAATGGGATATTATACTTCTCTTATCTCCTTTGAGTGTTGTTCTGAGAAACAAATGAAATAATGGCTAGGAGAGTGCTTTCCACTACACAAATTACCACTAGCATTCTGGCTATCCATTTGGGTAGCTAACAAGGTGATGTTTATCCATGTGATATCAAGCAATTTTATAGGAAATGAGAAGCTTCTTCAGTAAGGTAATATAAAAAAGTATAATGATATTTTACTTAACTGAAGCAGAGCTCTGTATATATTAACCAGACACGTTCAGAAAATAATTGTTTTGTTTTATTGTTTTATCGCAGTTCCTTGTTGTGGAGTGTGGTGTGATGACATTAATAAGATTTCAAACGTAAGTGAGAGAAAAAGAAATGGACTCAAATAAGCTTTAAAGAAGCTGATTCATCTTACCCAACACCTTTCCTACTAATATAGACTCCTATATATTAGGAAAGGCACGGGTTGGAGTTGTTTATAGAGTTGAAAACAGGAAAGGAAGCAGAGGAGGGAAGTTTTGTTGAGAAGAATTCCAACTGTCTAGAATAATAAAACTAACTTCCTATGGGCAAACTTTGGCATCCCTGAAAGAGCTCTGGATCTTAACAGATGACTGCAGAGGGGACACCCTGATAAATAGGTGAGATCAGTAGAGTGTCTCGGGAAGAAACAAGCACTGCATGGCTTCATAAAGAGACCAGGTGGGAAGGTGGGCTGCTATGAAATACTTGAACACACCTGTGGAATGCCAGGTGGGGTGGATTACAGCTGGTAGTGTGGCTGGGAGGGACCCATCCGCCTGGGCCAGGGAGTCAGACTGCCTGGTCCGCATCCTCAACACATTGCTACTCTCCACTCAGACAATAGGTCGGGCAGTTTTAGGGATTCTGGTGGAGCAGTTACAACAATTTGGTCGTATATTTATTCACTATCTGAAAAACAGAGGTTGTTATTAAGCAAAGATTTAGTTCTGGGGTAATACTAAATGCAACATCTAGATGTTTGAGAAATAAAGTTTCCTAAAACATCTGCATACAAATTAGGTCTGATCATGAAATATAGGCAAGTTTAAGCCTTACCACCATTGTTGGGAAGGAATTAACCTTGAACATTTAGGCGTTCAATGTCTATTAGTAGAGTGTGTGTGTGTGTGTGTGTGTGTGTTTTGTGTGTGTGTGTGTGTGTGTTTCTTTTTCTTTTTTTAGGAGGCGATACCTAAACTCCTTTTTATGTTCTAAGTAATGCATGGTTGAGGGCTGGACTGTCTAGTGCTGAAACAAAGTGTGTGTTGAACATAGAGCCTGATACACAGTAGTTGCTTAATGGTTAATGGATGCTGGTTGAATACAGTTGCATAGTTGGACGCACCAAGTTTGTTGTTAAGGGAGGACCAGCGTAAAACTCGAGCACCAGTTAGAATGTCTTGGGTAGAAATTCATAGCAGTGTGGCGCCAGTTTCCCCTGCCGAGAAGGGAACCGCCAACCCGTGTGAAGTCTGGTCTAGGTGAGTCTTCCTGGGCGTGTGCAGGTGTTATTCCTGCGAATGAGGCCGGCCACTGCCAGACGGAGGAGCTGCCCATTCAGAGCTCTCAGATCGCTTACCTCGGGGCCTCTGCTCGCCCCACCTTTGCCTTTCTGCCAAATCTCTCCTCTCTCCAGGGCGAAGGGATTCCCACCCCCAGCTGCCTCCTCCAAAGCCCGCGGAGCAGCGGACTCCTCCCCTGGAAACTCCTCCGGGGCTGGGGAAGGCTTTGGCGCATGCTCCGTACCTAGGGCAGGTTTTTGCTGCGGGTAGCAGGGCTCCCGTCACACCGGCTGGCGGGTTGTGGCGGTGCCAGCCTGTGTGTGCGAGTGTGTCTGCGTGCCTGCGCCTGGGCGGACAGCCCCGAGCGGCAGTGCGACTCGCCGGGAGAGGCGTCTCCGCAGAGGCGCCTCGCCCGCTGCCGCCGCGCCGCGCTGCGGGGGCCGCTCTGCAAACTTGCGGCGAGCGCCGTCCGCCCTCGCGGCTCCAGAGCTCCGCGACCTGCCGGCAAAGGCGCCGGGCGCGCGTGCGGGGCGCGGTGCCCGCGGCCGGCCGGGGCGGCGGGACCGGGCCGCGCCTTCGCCCTTCGCCGGCGCCCTGGCGAGCCTCATGAAGCCCCAGCGCTCGCGGCCGCAGCTACCCGGCGGCCCGGCTGCGTGCGGCAGGTCAGGACCCGAACCCCGCTCCTCAGCGCCTGAGCGCCCCCGAGCCGCCGGCGGGATGCCGCGCGTCGCCTGAGCGCGCCGCGCCGGGGCGGGAGCAGGGAGCGGGCCGGCCCGGGCGCCCCCGGGAGCGCAGGGCGCCCCACGCCGCAGCCGCAGCCGAGCACGCCGGCGCCCGCCTCCCCCGCCCGGCTCGCAGGCCCCGGCTCCGCAAGCCCCGAGGGCCGCGGGGCCGCCAGCCAGCCACACGCCTCGGCGTCAGGGGCATGGAGGAACGGCGGGCTCCGAGCCGCGCCCCGGAGTCCCCGAAACTTCCGAGCGGGCGCCCGTCTGCCCTGCCGCCGCCGCCGCCGCTTCGCCTGCCGGCCTGAGAGCGGGACCATGGATGAAAGGTTCAACAAGTGGCTGCTGACGCCGGTGCTCACTCTCCTCTTCGTGGTCATCATGTACCAGTACGTGTCCCCCTCCTGCACCAGCTCCTGCACCAACTTCGGGGAGCAGCCCCGCGCGGGGGAGGCCGGCCCGCCAGCCGTTCCGGGTCCCGCCCGCCGAGCTCCGGCGCCGCCTGAGGAGGGGGAGCGGCGGCCCCAGCTTCCCCCGCCGCCCCGGGGGCCGCCCGAGGGGCCTCGGGGGGCCGCGGCGCCGGAGGAGGAGGACGACGAGCCCGGAGACCCCGAGGAGGAGGAGGACGAGGAGGAGGAAGACGAGCCGGACCCCGAGGCCCCCGAGAACGGCTCCCTGCCCCGGTTCGCGCCCCGCTTCAACTTCACCCTGAAGGACCTGACCCGCTTCGTGGATTTCAACATCAAAGGGCGCGACGTGATCGTGTTCCTGCACATCCAGAAGACCGGGGGCACCACGTTCGGCCGGCACCTGGTGAAGAACATCCGGCTGGAGCAGCCCTGTAGCTGCAAAGCCGGCCAGAAGAAGTGCACCTGCCACCGGCCTGGCAAGAAGGAGACGTGGCTCTTCTCCCGCTTCTCCACCGGCTGGAGCTGCGGACTGCACGCCGACTGGACGGAGCTCACCAACTGCGTGCCTGCCATCATGGAGAAGAAGGACTGTCCCCGCAACCACAGCCACACCAGGTACTGTCCCCCGCTCTGTCCCGCTTCTTCCTCCCGGCGCCCTGCCCCTCCTCCCCAGTCCCGACCCAGAGCGACCCGGCGCTCCCTGCCCCTGCTGGTGGTTCCCTGGCGTCGTCAGCGGTTGGCAATGTAGCTTTGGGGAGGGATGAGAAACCTCTGGATAGTGCCCAGGTCCAGAACTTGTTCTTCCCCCAGTCCCCCCTGCTTCCCACCACCCCCTGCCTTCACCACCTAAGGTGTGCGGAGTCACTGTGTGGATCCTTCTTGGTGTCTAGTACGCGGTGGCCTCCCTCCCAGTGGACGCTGGAAACGCGCCCTAAAATGGGGAGGGGGGTCGCCGTCTGGGTTAGAACAGCCTTGTAGAATTGTGAACTTAAGTTTTGGGAGTGCAAACCCAAACCCAGGAAAAGGCAGGGCAGGAGTTTTCCAGGCGTGGTGAAGCCCGAGACGATTATAATCCCTTCATAAGTGGCGTTTGGGTGGCAGCTCAGGAAACAATCAATCCTCTAGATGCCACTTAACACTTGCAAATTCCTGCCTCTACCTCAGTAGATAACTCTGATTCTGGAGATGGTCTTTGTTGTCCAGCAGTGCCAGGATTTCGACTCACTTGTGCTCAGAAAGATTTCCATTCTCTTCCTAGGCCATTACATCAACTTATTCCAAAAGTTCTTGTTAAATGCTTATAGGATGCCTCACAGTGTTCTAGGTGCTAAATGAGTATAAAGATAAAGTAACATCCCTTGTTTTCGGGATGGAATGACATTCTTGATCCCCTGCCTCCCACCCTTAAAAAAACAATAATACAGTGGAGAATTAGGAAAGTTAAAAATCTTAATAGCCAATGAAATGGCTTACATTATTAACATGCTTTGAGAGAGGCATGGGCTTAAGAATTTGGTTGAATGTTCTTTCTGCCCATTGCAGTTTGAAGACTAATCTGACATGCTCGCTCAAGGACGAAAATATTAAAACCTTGGAACACTAGTTCATTGAAGTTTTAATCTTAAAGGTTTCAAACAATTTGGTGTGAGGAAATAGGAATTTAAAAGCTCAAGCTCATTATGTTGATATCAGATAGCTTTTGCATTTGACGTTATAGAAAAGCATCATTTACTGGAAGCTACCCATATTCTGGAATTCACCACCACTGAAGCATCTAATTCTACTTCGTTTCTCTAAGAATGAGCAAAATTTCATTATGGGATTTTTTTACTTTGGCAATTTTTCAAATACTTTCCTCCCTGCTCCTTTTTCTGTTTCTTGGACATTGGTTAGAATAAGAAACTATTTGGATTTGGAATGAGGGCATTAGGCTCTTCCCTTTGTATATTTTATGGATCTTTGCATTTAAATATTTTTAATAGTATATTACTTTAGATCTTGCTACTCCCTGTTAGCTTAAAAGTTTTTCAATTAAATGTTACTTTCAAACCTCCTAACACATAACACGATTACTTCAGTGAGACACAATTTCTGCTACTTTACATCCAACCTTGTACTCTGTGTTTAGATTAATTCCTGATTGACCCCAAAGAGTTTGCTAGACTGCTTCCCAGCTTCCATTTTCACTAAAACTGGAGTTTTACTGATTATCACATAGAAACGTCTGCTTACTCTTCAGTACGGGCTGGTGTTATTTTTTCTCCATGTACATAAAAGTCATAGTAAATAGATGAAGATTTTGGAGGAGTTAGAGAAGGATGTGAAATCTAAATTATTAGATTTTTGCTTAGTGATGAATAATGCTACCACAGACCCTGCATAGATGGCAACCAGTAAGGTCTCACTTCTATGGGAAATACTTAATATGTCTTTACTCTGTGACTAGGAAAACTCTACCATGACCTGTTTAAACATATGATTTCTAGTGTGTGATCAGACTATTTTCTTTGTTTAGTAATGAAGCATAAACATTCATTTCTCCCTGAATCACAAGTTAGCTGACAATTAGTCACCCCGTTCTGTTTTTTTTTTTTTTTAAAAAACACAAACAAACATTTTTTTGGTAGTATTTTGCTTATAACTCACTTTACAATTTGTCTTTCTTTTCCTTCCCACCCTCTCTGTCTTCCCAGTAATTCTCAAGTACTTTCCTTGCTCTAGATACTGTAGGAAGGAAGTTGTGGCATATGTGAAGTGTCCTGTATCAAAAGCTATGGGGAAAAAGTTGAAAGGATGTTAACAGTAGCATCTCTCTAGCAGAGAAGATTGAATTAGTTGTCTGTCATTGTAATGTCTGTGTATAGCATTCTACAGCCAACTAGATTAGCCTGGATAATGGAGGGTACATTTTCACAATGTAAAATGGCAGATAATCTATTGCTACATAATGGGAACAAGGTTCTACTTCAAATAGGGCTGACTCTAAGCAAAATTGATAAGTAGATCTTGTTGATTTTGGTTCCCTAGTCTCTCTGCTTTTGGTCCCCCCCAAAGTACCTCCTCCCAGTTTCACTCAGAGATCAATGCCCTTATGGATGACATAATAAGTAAGAGTAAGGATTATGAAGTCAGATAAATATGGCTCTTGTACTTACTAGCTGTGTATCCAGGAGTAAGTTACTCTTTCTGAGTCTCAGTTTCTTCACTTTTAAAGTGTAAATAATAATTAGTACGGCCATTATAGGAGTGTTGGGAGAACTAAATGAATCAATACATGCAAAATGCTTAGCATAGTATATATATGCATAGTATAATATGCTGGCATATAGTATTTAATATGTGGATATTCAGTAATACTGTAATATCAGTTGTAAATTGCAATAATAGTTTCCCTATTCAAGGCCTTCTTCCTAAAAAAAGCATGAGATCAGTTTCTTAGAGAAGCACTGTATAAATGGGTCACCTTACAGAGCTACCATTTTATGATTTCTTGTACTAAGCATCCTAGGTTCCAAAAGTAATACGTTGGAAATTATGGACATTTGGGCATCAGTCATTGCAGGGGCAAGGCAGGGAACAGAGTTGGGGGCACACAATATAATTGGATATACATTCTGTTGATAACACAAAAAACTATCCGCAATGGGTGAGAGAGGACGTGAGAACATCCAGGACTGAAGAAAGAAGCAGGAAGCCAACTCTGAAAAAAAATACGTGGCGAACTTGAAGGGGCCATCATATGGATTATGTGGGCCATGAAGGGGCAGGACTCTGGGCTGGTGGTTTGAATCCAGCACAGACGTAATTTCTGACCACAGAAATTGGTTAGAATAGGATGATGGCACATCGGAATGACCTCTTATCATATCACTGATGATTTTTTCCCATTATTTTTGTGTTGCTTTTTTCCCCCCAGTTATTTTTTTGGAAGGTTTTTCTTTCTCACTTCCTTAATGCTTCCTTATTACTGTATGCCCCTTTATCTGCAGTTCCAGGGCCTTAAAAGACTCCTTTTCAGCATTCTTGAGTATGTATAGAATCATAGCATTTTATGGCTAAAAAAGACTGAAGAGAGAATCTATTCCCACATTTTTCATGGGGAATCTAACCATAAAAAGGTGAAATGATACACCTAAGGTGTCTTGAGGGAATTCATGTCTTCATTTTCATAATTTATATTCAATGTTTTGCTTACTATATCTTCTGTTTACTATGAAAAATGTAGTGGAGCATGCCTCAAGCACCTACTTATGTGCCAGGCACTATGATAGTTCTGGGAATTGAGTTCTGAACATTGGCAGCCCTGTGTAGCCTAGGCTTCATCTTTGGCAAGTGAGTATCACTCCCATTCTTAAATAATGATGGAAAGATATTCTATCTGTATCCTTTTGTAGGATAGGATGGCAATTTTTCTCTTTTATGACCTGCATTCTATTGGTTTTGTTAGTGTAGTTTGAACCCTGTGGATGTTATATTAAATAGGACCTTGTGTGTTACAAATGATACAAACCTAACTCAAACTTGTTTCAACCAGAGGGGAATTATTGGCTTATCCAGTCACATCACAGGAAGGCGGGGGAGAGGTGGTTTCAGGAACGACTGGAACTGGAGATTTGGGGTCTTTCTTGACATACTTCTTTGTGTATTGATCTCATTCTATCAAATTGGCTAATTCCACAATGCGGGTAAAGGTTCTTCATATCTAATATCTCCACAAGCGGAGAGAGAAGCAGGCCTTCTTGGAATTCTAGTTTGAAATTTTGGGGAATGACTCTGGTTAGCTCAGCGTAGAACTTGTGACTATTCTTTCACTCAATCATTGTGGCCAGGGAGAGAGAGAAGGCCTCTCCTTGTATCACAGAAGCATTTCTATTTGTGTGTGTGTGTGTGTGTGTGTGTGTGTGTGTGTGTGTGTGTGTGTGTGTGTTTTATCTGGAAGAAGAGGAGCTAGCATGGATCCAGCTCCTGGACGGACCACTGGGTTCTGGACAACCTCTCTAACGGTTTCAGCTATAGGTGCAAATACATGAGAAATAAATGAAACTTCAGATTTCTTTTTTGCATAACACTTAGGAAAAATTTTAAGCCAAACTGCAACTTGAATTTATTTGCAGCATCTGGAAACCATGTCATATGAGAATTAATTGAAATAATGTGTAATATATAACATGGAGATGAGAAAAATAAGGAGACATAAAAGCTGCCTTCAAATAGTAAAAGGAGGGAGATGTGGAAGCTGAAGGAGACTTTTTCTGTATTGCTCCAAAGGAGAGAACTAGGATAAGAAGTGATGAGATTTCAACTCAGAGTAAGAAAGAACTTAATAAAATTTATAACTGTCTAAAAAGAGCATGAACTCTTTTGTGCTCTTTTATCAGTAAAAACTTTAGGAATGTCTGGTTAACTACTGATGCTGTAAAAGGAATTTCTTCTTGGGGAAAGGCTTAGCCTGAATGGCCTTTTATTTTAAGTTTCATTAGTTCTAATCTAATCTGAGTGCAGGGTGTCTTTCTTCTCCTCCTTCCTACCTTATACATAGAAAAGAAAAAAAGGATTATAAATGAACTAGTCCTCTAGCATTTGTAAATAGTTCTACTGAGGAAACTTTTTGTCAAATCTGATAGTATAGACTGTTGTACACATTCAGGGCCAAAAGCAATAAATGGGTCCTGTGTATTAGGTTGTCTGCTTCTTAATAATAAGTATAAAGCCGGGCACGGTGGCTCAAGCCTGTAATCCCAGCACTTT